ATTTCACATATATATGTTTTTGAAAAATATTAAATTCAAATAAACTTATTGAGACGAAGTTAGTTAGAATTTTATGAATCCTAGATTCTAAAAAGAATAAAATTTTATTGAATTCTTGATACATAATAAATTATTTTTTTCAACATAAATTAGTCATACATTTAGATGGATTATTGTAAGCTATTGAATTCTGCCGAACATGTAATTGTCTACTTACTATCTCAACTATATCGCCGCTGATCATGTCGCTATTCTTCATTTACTATATTTTTTTTCTTGAGGTAATTCACTATTAAAAAAACATGAATTTTCGATATAGGAAATTTATTCATCGGAAATATGGAATTTGACGATAATATCCGTCGAAAACTCACATTATTTTAATAGTTAATACATCAATCATGATAAGGTTTGTAAGTTGATAATGGGTTATCTATCTCGTACGACTTGACATAAACATGTTAAGATAACATGTGAATCGTCATGTAAGGTAGGATACATTCTCCTCTTAGAAATCATTGAAACTTTACCAATTATAATGAGAAAAAATGAATAGAATTTCTTTAGAGATTTTCTATTAGATGATAAGTCACTTTCCCAAATCTAGATTTATTCAAAATTGATAGCATGTGCTACCCATTTGTTGTTTAATGGCTAAGATAGCCTAGTTGAGAATATCATCTAATCACTTGAGGAAAAAAACAAGTTTGAAAGTTACAACTCCATACATGTTTTTGCACACTTATAATTCATGCTTCACTTCTTGAAAATGATGTGTTTGATGTGATCTAATTGTTTTTAATTAGAGGACCTGAGTTTAAGCTTTGCACTCTTGGCAAAGAGCTTTTTCCCTTGAAAGGGTCTTATGTACGCAACATGAATTTAGGCAAAACCCTCTATAGTACCAAGGCTCGTAGGGTGTGCATGACTGGTGTAATCTCTTCATCTTTAACTAGAAGTGATATCGAATTCAAGCCTGTGAAACGGAGAAACCCTGTGAGTGCTTACGTACCCCTTTAAATTGCTCTTTCATAAAGCGATGATGGAACCCCCTAGTAAGGAGAGTTTCCATCTTGAATGAATCTTATACAGTGCGATAGATGTGATCCCTTCATGACTCCTTAACTATAAATGTCTCGGGTTTGATAGCCCTGCAAATTTCTAGTAGGACACACTTCTCCCTTTAAAAGGCCCTATGTACCAAGAATATCGATGAGATCTTCTTCATAATTAATGCATTAATTTATTTTTTTAAAAGAAAAAATAATTTCAAAATTTAAACTTAATGAGTTTAATATGGTCCTCCACAAAATATATTAGATTCAATTGAAAACCAATACATGTTAAGGAAACACATTGCACTTAAGTTTTTTTGGGCCAAGAAAATGAAATTTTAATAAAATGTCTATTTTTTCTTAACTTAGCCTTTCAAAAAGAAGGAAATAAACCATAAAATTTCATGATGCAAGTTGTACACTTTTTTTTGTTGTTGTTGACTTCTTGTTGCATATTTAGTAAAAAATAATAATACAACTAGTGTTTCTGAATTGGACCCAAATTGACTTATGACTCATAAATAGAACAATTGTTTGGCTAAAATGTAAACAATTGATAACATTGTAGTAACTATACTTCTTCTCCTTTTAGTGAGTTCATAAGAATATTAGTATTTGTGCATGAAAAGTGTGTCAAGAGTCTATCGAAAACAACATTTCTACCTCACACAAGGTAGATGTAAGGTTAAAAATGATGATGCACGATTAGAAGGTCGGTGCATAATTGGCTTGCCCCCTTCTTTTTTACTCCACTTAATCCTTTTGTGCGCCCCAACCACACTATCATACCATTAGTCATGATATGCGCCTAAATCACACATCATGTAATGCCACAAATGTTAGAACATTCTATTCAAGTAGAATATCCAATGTCCAAGTAGCATGAAATTTGTGATTGAAATAAACGATGAAAACAGTTGAAAAAAAGAATGGAAATGACACAAAAGCAATTAGCAACCAATGTGAAAATGAAGTCACTAAGTGGAGACCATGACAAGACCTAAAAGTGCAACTTATGCATCTCCAAAATACTTTTCAAAGAACAAGATTCTAATTGCAACTCAAAATCCACCATCCAACCACAACTCTAAGACCCCCCAACCCCCTCCCCCATGAAGGGACAATAAGATCATTCAACTCTTAATCACTAGTCTCAGGTTCGAGTCCTAAATGTGGAAAAATTTCTGATAGAGAGAGCTTACCCATACAATGAGCCTTAAACGACACAAATCCAAATCAATCGAGACTCAAATGCAGATACTGGACATAAGCTGGAAACCAAATAAATAAATAAATACAACTATGAAAGAAGAAAGATTTTAGACAAAGAGGAATGGGACATTTCAAAAGTTGAGAAGGAAAATAGTTGGTTGAAGTTAGTTAGTGCTCTTTGTAGGCCAAGCAATTGAGTTAGTTAAAGACTACTAATATACTAATTCTAAATGGACAAGTGTCACACTACTAAGTTGCCTATTTCTTGGACTTACATAAAGCTTAACATGCCGCCACGTGGATGTAACTGCACCTTGATGGATTTTTGACAATAATGCCATCCTAATATAAAGAAAGCCCACAGCTTTGGTCCAGTAGTAAGAGCATAACGTGTGATGTGTAAGTTAGACGCATGTCACTTATGTTGCTCCGACTCTTCTAGATGTCGACAAGTGCATATCACACTATTTAAAAGTAGTGCATTTTTTAAGGATCCTAAATAAAAGACGAGAGAATTTTGCCTTTATTTTGACTATCCTAGGCTAGTGGACTTGACGGACCACCTCAGAGGTCGGAAGAAGATTCTTGGAGACCACGGCAACCATTGCTGAAAGGGGTATGGGGGACAAGTGGTACCGCAACACGTTTGGCGTATCCGGAGAATTTTATTTTTTTGATAACTCCCCAATCAAACTCAAACTCAAACTCAAACTCAAGCTCAATGGTGGATAAAAATTAATAGTAATAAGGCAGTTATAACAGCAACAAGTGGACAAGCTGGGGTTGCTCAAATGTTAAACACCCTTCACCTCCAATACTAAGGTTGTAGGTTCGAGTCACCAAGGGAACAAATAGATAAGTAACAAGTAGTACACTTGTGTCAGTCAAGACTTGAAAACCTGGAAGACATAAAGCAAAAGGTTATGGTAAAAGACCAAGATAGTTGTGTAAGGTTTTCCTAGTGGTATAGCACTTGCATATGGCTCTAAGAAAGGCAGTTTGACGTACACTACAAGGTGGGGAATCGAACTCTCACCAATAAGGTGAATGCTCAAGTAACCAACCAATTGAGCCACTAAGATTTCCCCGTATGACTCTCTTTCTCATTAATGAAATACACTTTGCAAAGAAAGAAAGCTTCAAGGTTGTGTAACAATGCAGAAGAAAGATGCCCATCATCAATTAACAGACAATTGGATAGTGCAACAGATATTGTACTAGTCCATACAGATCCTTCTTTACATATTTGCATCAGAAATTTTAATCATCATATTTTCTTTATGATGCGGCGTTCGAGTTAACTTGTGCGCACCTCAACTATTCTACTGGTACCTTCTACCTTCTACCTCCCACCAGCCAAGTGCCGGGTAACTCCGTCTGCCAAAGCTTAGGCAGATAGGAAGAAATCACCTGATTTTTCGCCACCTCTAGGCTGAGCCTAAGACCTCATGGTTCACTTACTACCTCATTAACCATTAGGCCACACCTTGGGTGCACAAATTTTAACCATTATTTCATCTAATGAAATCATTAGTTTGTTAGGAAACAACATGTCTACAAATAATAAAAAAACTAAAGCAGTAAACCAAATTAACAGTGATAAGGAAAAGAAATAAAGGCTCCAACTTGGTAGGCAAATATTTCATTTCCTCTCCCTTCCTTTGTTAATCAGTATGGTCAGATGTAGTTGATGGATACTTATAGTTCAATGATTAAAATAAGTTGAGCACAAAAAGCTTCATACACCACTCTCTGGAATAGTCTAACCTGGTTCTACTTATAAACTTATTTGTTTACCTTACTAAAGCAACTTATAAACTCGCTGTTTAGAAAGGACAGACAGATTAATGACGTTCTTCTAGTAGCTACTGATGAGCATCTTCTATACGAGGAAGAGACGAGGCAATCCTGGACTTCTATGCAGGCTAGACATTGAGAAAGCATTCGACCATATCAATCTGCTGAGTCAAATGGATAAATTGGATCCATTTCTGTGTTTTTCAGTTAGCTTCTGCATTTATTAAATGGCAAACCTGAACGTCACTTCTCTTCCCAAAGGGGACTGAAGCAACGAAATTGACTCATTCTTCCTATGTTAATTTTGAGAAAGGGATGAACACTCTGAAGAGTTTTCAGAGCATCTTTTCCTACACTACCATAGAACATCAGAGTTATGAACTATCTTCCGAGACATCTTTGTAATACACAGGGTGATGCTCAGAACTGTAAAAGGAACTGCTTACAAGTTGGTCATAAAGTAATCTCACAAGGAACATAAAGAATTTGGACCAACGTCCCTACCAGCATTTTATGGATCTTATGGAAAGAGAGGAATCGAAGATGCTTTGAAGGGAGAGCTGTACCTTCCCCTAGCTTGAAACATAAATGGTTCTATCAACTTTCGTAGTCTCAGCTCAAAAATGAGTATGAAGTTGAGACACTGTTAGATTTCTTGCGTTCTTTGCAAAAGTAGTTAGATACCTCTTGTACTTATCCATCACTTATTGCTAATCTTCTATCAACAAAAAGACTTGCACACACTTGTCAGGAAAACAACTGTAATCAGTAACCTCAAAGAACCCCAAGCACGGCACCTCAAATACCCGAAAAATAACATAGTTGACGTTTCTCAGCAGCAAACGTTTAAAAGTTACAAAGATAATCCTGTAAAACAAGATTAAGAACAAGAACAACAGCTAAAACACTGCATATTATAGTACTTACAATGAATAATACATAATTTACATGAAAAACTGGACACTTAACTCCACCAGAAAGTTTCTACATTACAATCTCCTACAGTGCTAAGTATAACCCAAAATCAATAATACATATTCAAGATGAAGTACAATCAAAACTCCCTCATCATTTTCAATGTAAAATTGCACAAATTAATGAGTCTTCTCGCTGGCAAACCAACTGTGCACAGTGATTGAGAATTCCGAGTAATTCTAGGAATTAAATCTGACCTTTCTAGATTCTTGTCAAGATGTCCCAGCAGCAGATACCTTTAGCTTCTTGGGTAATGGATTCCCCCCAGACAATACCACGTAAGAGTAGAAGCAAAACATTGCAGCACTGTCATTTCAGACAGCAGAATTCAGATAATGATACACATCACAATGAATTTCAAGAAAAAAAGACATTACAATACCTCATGGCAGCATAAAAGCCAGTGGGAAATACTTTCCTTGTCTGCAAAAAAACTACAATCATCAATTTGAAATTGCAAGCCACTGAATAATCTAATAGAAGACTTTCAGAATACACGGAACTACCAGAGAGAAAGTCTGCATGTTTTTCCATAGAAGGATTGCAGCAAGCACTGCAGGGACATAGCAGTGAAGTCATTAATAATTGGAGAGACAGTATATATCGAATATCCACTAGGCTGGATGTATTGATGTCAACAACAACCAACTAAACAAAATGTTTTCATTTGCTTCAACAAATGTGGCAAGAAAGAGTGACAGATCAATCTCGAAATTGGTTGGCTTGAGGTAGGAAATTAGAAGCAAAAAAAAAAAAAAAAAAAAAAAGATCTTCAAATGGAAGATGGGAAAATACTTTCCTTCTTTCCGTTCTTTTTCCTTTTCAGAGCAAGGATTATTTCCTCCTAAAAGATGTTTCCATAGACTTAATATATTCATATAACTGGGTGGTTGAGGGCGGGAAGTTGTGAAATTGAGAGCTAGAAATATACATTATTAATTTATAGATGTCTGGTTCATTTCAAACAATCACGTAATTAATTTTACTAAAGTTCCATTTCCCATGTGTTTTTACATATCCGTTGTCTCATTCACAGAAAATATCTATCAACCGAATGATATACACATACAATTTGTCTTTCCTATCCCTGACTTCCCAAATTGACAAAATACTATTGTTCAACGAAAAGAACGAGTTACTGCTCAAAGAAAAGAATGTGAAAACATAAGGCTGACAAATAATGTTAACACTAAGATCAGATAAAAAAAGATCACACTCAAAGAAATTGTTCCCTTTTCATCAGCAAATTAAAGGAAGTCCAGCTGCACAGATAGCAATTAACTTACAGGAAACCAGCAAATACCTGCTTGACCCAGTATGAATGGCAAGCTAGATTTTCCTTGTCTCCAGACCCTCAAGCTAATGGTGCTGAAGGCCAGTAAAGCACCTCCAAAAAGAACACCATTACTTAAAGTCGCAGGGTTTCTTGAGAAAATAAAACCAACAATTCCCCCAGTGAAAACAAGACCACCTGTGATGAGGATCACTTAAGTACTTACTAATCATAATAATTACGTAGCTGCAAGAATTATAAACACCACTGTGATAAGAAATTATAGGTAAGACAGAAACATAATAGAAATATTTTCTGTCATTTTGATCTCCTTATTTATGTTACTTGACATCTTTCTGATAAATAAATGTTTCCACTTGATTTATGTGATTAGTGTGATTTATCTATCACAAAAGCAGTGAATATAATAGAAAGAAGGAGAGAGAAGAAACGTGCTAGATTGCTGAAGACATTATTCGTTCTTGAAAGAAGCACAGGAAGATTCAAAGCTAGTAACAGAGAGATATAGCTCAAGATAACACTCTTACATAGGCACCAGAATGATTAAAATATTTGCTGAATCTAATGATTAAGATTCTGAGAATCATTGGTTCCTGTGTAAAGTTAAGAACTTTATATAGCTAAAAGAAATGCAAGGGACTAATACCTTGATGTAGTTAACAAGGGAATGATTCTACCTTTTTGCCCTACCTATATCTATTGCATCACCAAACATCTATAGGATGCACAAGCTCCTAAATAATGAAGCAAATTTATTGGATCCAGTGACACATCGGGGATTCCACTAGGATAGGTCATTCAATAGAACTGATGCTTACAGTTACAGAAATGTGTTAGGGATATATACTGGTGTTCACAACATAATTATCAGATAAAGAAACAAATATGTACGCTTATGTGTTAGGGTGCGAACCTTCCCCCGACCCAGCTTAATGTGGGATGCTTTGTGCACAGGGCTGCCCCCTTTATAAGAAGTATACATAGCAAAAGAAGGAGTTGTAAAGAATGTTGCTCTCGACAAGAAGACACCTACCCTCTATCCAAGTAGTTATCCTAAGTACTGCAGAAGCAAAAGAAAAACAACAAGACATTTGCACTTTTAGGTAGTTTCCCCTCAAAAGCCCTTCCATTCCTCTCGATTTGAACTCCTAATGTAATAGTTGAAGGAATGCCCTAAAGCATATCCTAAGAATTGTTGGAAACATAATCTTCCTTTGTCTTTACTTTAATTGGTAACCATAGAGTATAAAGAGAAGGAGTTAAAAAAGGAACGCAAAACAAACAAAATAGACAGAGACAAATCTTTTCAAAGAATCATTAAAACCTCTAGAATAGAACTTATGTTTGGATAAGGAGTCAACCTAAAAAAAGGTAATTGGTAGACAAGGTGGAAAATACTGTTTCTAGTTTACACCATTTAAGTTTTAAGCATTATTCTGAAAAGTGCAACAAGTGAGAACACCTTGACAGAGAAAAGAATGGTTGGTGATATCAGGCACTAAACAAGCACTAGTTTCTACCTTTTTGAGGCAATACTCACCAAAGGGAATACCAAAACAGAAATCATGAATTTTGGCAGTCCCTTTTGAAGGACTGATGGAGTTTTCTTGCACTGACCCTTTCATTTCTTTTCCTGGAACAAGTTCGTCCGACTTTAAATTTGAATTTGATGAGCTTCCATTATGTGATTGTGATGCATCTCTAGTACAACCTAAAGTGTTCCTGTTTTCTAAATTGGATAAATCCGTTCCATGAGCATCATTTCTCACAACCACTACCTGAAGTCCATGACAAATGAAGATGTGTAAGTGCATGTACATTCCAGATAGAGTGCCGCTCACTCCACAAACCCAAATTTCAGCAAAATAATAGAAAGTCCAATACAAGTAGTATTAGAAAACTAAAATCATTATCAGTTTGGAAGTCAAATGCCAGATGTCAACCAATAAATCACCAAATTGTTTTAAAGAAACAAAAGAAAGGAAACAAATAAGGACGACAAATTAAAGATTTTATGCAGATAAATGGTTCCATCTTTAGTCGGCTTTGATATGATTTGTGAGCAAAAACATCTTCTATTACTAGTAGCCAGCTAGCCGCAAGAGAATATTGAAGTAAGTTGATAGAGAAACATCAACTTGGAGTTTGATACGTGAATAGTTAATGAATTTGATTTATTGCAAATCGTAGATGATGTATAGAATTCTGAGGTACACACAAGTTGGCCCAAACACTACCTATTTGTGTTAGGTTGAGAAAATGGAGCGGATGGAGGATTCGCACAACTAACTCACCTAAATTATAACTGATCCAACTAATTTGGAATGAAGGTATAGCTGATTGACATGACTCCTACATTAAACTCGAGCTTAATATTACAACAATGTATGCAATATTAAATTCAAGTCGGATCAATCAAAACAAAATAGGAGGGGTAATTGGAAACAGACAAGTATATGCTAATATTCTGCCTATTAACTACACAGGATAACCTGAAAAAATAAGTATTTTTTATTAATTTTTCAATGTCAAAATGTGGCTGGCAAAGAATTATTGTTAGACTCTAGAACTAAAACCCATTGAAAAACCACACTCAACCTTCATCGCAAATCATGAAAATAACACATCTTTACCAAAAAGATCAATTTTTTAATCAAATTAACATAACCCCACATCAAAAATTCATCACGTTCCTTCCTTTTTCTTCTGGGATTTCTTAAAATCCTTTCCTTTTATCTCTAACCAAACAAAAATAACCACACTCAACCTTCATTGCAACCCATTGAAAGACCACATTTTTACACAAAAAGATCAAACTTTTAACCAAATTAACAGCACCCCACATCAAAAGTTCATCAAATTCCTTCCTTTTTTCTTGAATTTCTTCAAATTATTTCCTTTTTTCTCCAAACAAACAAGAATAACCACACTTAACCTTCATTGGAAACCATGAAATGACCACATTTTTACAAAAAAAGATCAAACTTTTAACCAAATTAACATAACCACACATAAATAATTCATCAAATTCCTTCCTTCTTTTCATGGGATTTCATCAAATTCTTTCCTTTTATCTCCAAACAAACAAGAATAACAACCCTCAACCTTCATTGCAAACCATGAAAAGACCACATTTTGACCAAAAGATCAAAATTTAAACCAAATTAACATAACCCCACATCAAATATTCATCAAATTACTTCCCTTTTTTCTGGGATTTCTTCAAATTCTTTCCTTCTATCTCCAAACAAACAAAAACAAAAGCAAACACCAAATAAAAAACACTAATTTCTCAATTACAAAAAAAAACATAAATGAGAAATTCAAAACAAGATAACAAGTTAAGCAAAATTTGGGGAAAAAAGAGAAATAAAAAATAAGCAAATAAAATACAAAAAAAATAATTAAAAAGTAGGCACCTTCCGTGGAAGAGTAGAACAAGGATGGAGATGAGTGTGGAACAGAAATCTCCTATTGATGGAAGAGAAGCATGAGAGCTGAGAAATCGTTGATGACATTCTTGATTCACTTTGAATTAATTTTTTTAATTTTTTCAGAAAAATATCGGAATATTCAAAGTTGAGTTTTTATGAATTTGAGAAAGTGAGAAAAATGGTTCCTATTGTTCAGGAGACTGTGGGACTAAATGGGGCATATTTAATACTTTTGGTCCATTAATAGATAGTATAGTGTTTTTTTTTTTTTTAAAGAAAGAAGCATTGAAAAATACTCTTGAACTTGACGTAAATTATTAGTTTCGTTTTTTGATTTATTGACAACCTTAAAAACACTTTTCTACTTGATTAATTAAACTTAGATACACCTCCGATCTACCACGTTATAGCAAGTGGTCTCAAACTCTTGTACGTGCATGAGATTCTTAATAAGAAATCGAGAGAGGTGTTGGAAACACTCCTAATTTGACGAAAATTTAGGGGTGTATTTCACTCATGTTGCAAGATTGGCGGTGTGTTTAAGTTAGTTAGTCAAGTAAAGAGGTGTTTTTAAAGCTGTCAATAGTTCGGAGATGAAACTAATAATTTGAGCCGAGTTTAGGGGTATTTACAATACTTCTTAGCTAAATATTTATATAAGTATCATTCTTTTGCGAGTTTGGTCCTTGAAATATCCGATATTCACTAAACTATTACCAACTATCGTCAAATACCTGTTAGGATCATCAAACCATGCGCTTTGCTATCACTTGTTGGGTTCAAAATTAATCAGGACGTCATGCGTAAGTTTACAATTGCAAATCAAAATGGTGATAAATTATAAACAAAAACTTATACTAAAAATATAATATTATTATTTGGTTTAGCTAATCGGCTTATATATGAAAAACTAATAAAAAAATATTAAAACCGTTGAGAGAAAAATATCTGCATAAACAAAACTCTTTAAACGATTATATTGTGGATGTCATTGTGTTCTTGATATGAGAAAATGAGTCTTTAATTTACAGAGTTCCATATTTTCCCCCTTAGGAAAGAATAAACCAAATATGGAAAAAAAAATCATATTTTCCTTTCAGAAAAAATTAAAACATTTATGGTAATACTTTGATTTTCTCTAAGGAAAAATTAAAACTCAAATAAGGTAAAAATATTTTTAGGGCAAAACTCTAACAAATCTCCCTTTTCGACTAAATTTTTTTAACATAGCTTGATCTGTCTTATTTACTACATGATATATTTATTCTTCACATGGTCTTTATCACTGCTGTTTGTCACGGTTAGAAATAAAGTTTAAAATCTAAGGGATAAAAATATTTTATTTTTATTCTTAAAATTGCAGGAACAAGAAATGTTGAAAATATGGTTGGAACTTCTTCTACACATGTAGCTGGGTCATCAAATTGATTTGAAATCGTCTTGAATCTGTCTTCAATTTCGTTCAACTATTATTTCATTAAACCATGTGCTCTGATAGCACTGGTTGAGTTCGAAAGTAATCAGGACGTTATGCAAAAGCTTACAATTACAAATCAAGACGGTGATAAATTAGATGACAAAAACTTATACTATAAACATAATATTATTATATGCTTTGTATGAAAAACTAATAGCAAAGAAGAGGAAAAATTACAAGAATATACTATTTAAGACTTTAATTTACATTATATTATTCTAGTTTTTTTTTATTACAATATTAACATTTTAATTAGAAATATGACAATATATTATAAAATAAATAGCTACACGATTTAAGACCTATTTTATTGGTTAATGAGCTGATTTTATGGGACACATATTTTACCATTTATTTTAGAGCAAACTACATAAATCCCACTACTTTAGACCATAATTACTTGGAATCCTGGTAGATTTCTAAATTACTTTCTATACTTTTTTTTTAGTCGGATACATGAATCAAAAGTGGTTAGATACGTGTATCTATTAGAATTAAAAGGAAAAGATACATTATTTAATTAATTTAAATTAAATGGTGTAACTTAATTCCATGATTAAAGGAGTAAAATATGGGGATTTAACAAACAAACAGATTTGGTGGATCAATTCATATTAGCTGTTACAGGTTTTTGAAAAAAAAACTAAATCACACAGATTAACAGATCTGGCGTTGTAAACTTCGTCTTCTTCGTCTATTTATTCCTTATTTTTAAAGTTTTTTTTTTCAAATGACGGATATAACCATATTGTTAAGGCATTCGGGTTCATGGATCTTTGAAATCCATTACGAAAATTATATAATTGATGGAATACCATTGAGAGAGAATGCAACCTACAATGGTCTAGTCGATGGTATTTCAACACAACTAGGAATCGATTGTTCACGCAAAAGAATGGAGATAAGATACACGATGAAATTGATTGTTCACGCAAAAGAATGGAGATAAGATACATGATGAAAGACAATATAACTCTAATGAAAAATCGAAACGACACGGGGATGAGGTTTTTTATGGAATTGAAAAGTCGTGCAATCCAATTGCGGGTTGTATCCATTATGCATAACAACGAAAGAGCAAATTTTGGATGCAACAACAATTGTGAAATATCTTTTGACCAAGATACATCCATTGTTGAAGTTGGAGGTGACGTTGAGACTGTATCTTAGCAGTTTTTGCAGATAATCATAGTGTAGATGTTAGGGCTGGGCATTCGGTAATTCGATTCGATTTCGGTTTTTTTTTCTGGTTTTTTTGGTTCTTGTACAACGTGTACTGTAATTCGGTTCGGTTCGTTTTTTAAAGTTCGGTTCGATTTATGTTATTTCAATTCGATTTTTTTTATGGGCCTACTTAGTGGGCTTTTTAAAATTTAAAATTTTACAATTTTTTTGTTTGATTTTTCAGCTTAATGGGCTAAAATTAGTTATATGTCATAATAGCTGCAATATTCTGTAAAATAACACCAAAGAAGATACCATAAGTCCAATTTGCCAATCTGCCATTAGGCATTAACACCAAAGAAGCTCACATCTATGTAGTAAATTAAAGGGATAAGGGTCTGAAAAATATCTCAACTTTGGTCGAATTTGTTGATGCGATACTAAACTTTCATGAGGACCTATTACCTCCCTAGACTATTTAATAACGTATTTTAAACATATATATTTGCTCACGTGGACATAAAAAATAATGCAAAATTATAAATAGTAATGTGTCCACGTGGGCACATATATACCTTTAAAATACACTATTAAATAGTTCAGGGGGAAAAAAAATACGTATTAAATAGTCTAGGGAGGTAATAGGTCCTCATGAAAGTTTAGTATCGCAACAACAAATCCGACCAAAGTTGAGATATTTTTCAGACCTTTATCCCTAAATTAAAATAACACCAAAGAAACTCACATTAAAAGTCAAAACGAAGTGCCATATTGCCAATCTGCCATTAGGCATTAACACCACAATTTTTTAATTCACAATGTCACTAAAACACATAAATTTTTAATTAACAATGTCACTAAAATAAAAGTGCATTGTAGTTAATGTCTTCACAAATACAATGATCAATTGATCATGCCATAAGCCATTACACAACAACATAATAACAATCTAACAAGTAACAATAATGCACCAATGTAGTTTCTTCCATGAGACCACTTTCAAGTGCCAACAATAACAAACAATAATGAGCAACAAACAATGTAGCTTCTTGCCTTCTTCCATGAGATCACTTTCAAATGCCAACAATAACAAACAATAATGAGTTTTCTTGACTTCCTTCCATGAGACCATTTTCAACTTTCAAGTCTCAAGTGCCAACAAAAATACTAACAAAACTTATTACTTTACGTCTTTTTTCATTGTCTCGACTCTTGGACCTTTTAAGATAAAATCAAATGTTAGAATACTACTTTTAAGATTAAAAAAATGATATGATTAAATAAATGACGTATTGAACTCACCACTTGCAAGCCAATTATAGATCAACAATGGAAGAGTTTCTTCGACTATTTGCCATCTCTATAAATAAGAAAATCAAACATGTCATACAAGATACAACACAATAAGTATTTTATTTTTTCCAAAAACAAATAAAAAATAAAAAGTCTTACCAAGTTCAATTTTTTCAAGAAACTCCAAACTTTCTTCAACACAAATAGGCTTAGTTTCTTGTCTAAGCCAATCTTGGACACAAATAAGGCATTGCACACATTTGGGAGTCAATGAACTTCTAAAGGGATCAAGAATACGACCACCGGTGCTAAATGCACATTCCGATGCCACACTCGACATAGAAATAGCCAATACATCTCGAGCCAACTATGAAAGTACATGAAATCTAGGAGAATTAACTTTCCACCAAATCAAAAATATCAAAATCCTCAAATTCAGGCTATTGGTCTTCAAGAAGATATCTATCCAACTCAGATTTAACACCTAAACTTCCAGAATCTTCCTTTTGTTTCTTCATGTAAAACTTAGTTTTCAAAGAATTTGTTTTCACATTTTGAGAAAGACCACAAGTAGATGAATCAGATAAGTCAGACGAAGATGATTGATTTTTAGAACCTTTTGCATACTTACTTACATAGATCGCAAACAATTTCTTCAAGTAAACATCTACTTCATTATTCACTATCTTTCCCTTTTCTTCCCCAAGTAATTCTTCAAGAGCAAAACTAACATACACAAATTTGTTGCGAGGATCCAAAACAGAAGCAATAAAAAACATTTTGTTCATCTTTTCAGGAGTACCCCAATATTTCTTGAATTTTTCTTTCATCCCCGTAGCCAACAACAACAACAACATACCCAGTGAAATCCCACTAAGTGGGGTCTGGGGAGGGTAGAATGTACGCAGACCTTACCACTACCTCGTGGAGGTAGAAAGACTGTTTCCGAAGGACCCTCAGCTCAAGTACATCAAATCCAAGTAAAAGAAGAGGAAACAATATATAAAACATAACATCCAATAAGAAAAATAGTGTATAATCAACAAAGGAGACAATAACATCAAGAAAATACTGTGAGAGGTGAGACGCAGTAAACAACATATGGCTATAGGTATCACAGACAAGAACTACAAGTGCAAGGCTAGGACTACTACAAACTCTACCAACCCATACCCTCGCAAGGAAAG